ATTATTTATTTTACTAAAGGATTGGCCACAGTACTTTTAAAGGTAAATGTATCTTACTCTGTTGGTTTTATTTATGACAACTTCGTGTGACCAACTTTTTAGCAATGCCTTCACTAGGACGATACTGACATTCACTTCCTTAACATGTATAGCATTTTTCAAAAAGCAGTTTAGAAGTTGTCATCAGTTTCTTTCCAAGCTACTTTTTTTTCTTCTTCTGTAATTTTTTTCTCCCTATAAAATTACACTCAGTTCAATATTTCCTTCTTTGAACTGTCTTTTTTCTTCACTTGCCTAATTCTGTTTGTCCTTTAAGACTCACCTCAGGTGACACTGTCTCCAGGAAGCCTTCTCTGACTCGCCCAGATTGAAGTAGTTGCCCCTTCTCTGGGCTCCCTGCACCCTGTGCGAACGTTTACAGCTGCACTTCATACATGCTACTTAATTCATTGCTTTACTTGTTTCTTTTCCTGCTTAGACTAAGAATCGACCTCATCTTTCATCTCTGTATCTGCAGGACAAGGCGCACAGTTAGTGGCCATTAACATTGATGAAGAGGGGAAGGGGAGGAATAAGATGAACTGTATTTCTATTTAACCCATTATTTCTCTTTTCCTTCATCCTCATTTCATGTCTTCCTATTATTTCTCCCCAACTACTAATATATCATCTTAATCCTTCTCTTCTTAGTTCAATGCACATCATGATTTTCAGTCTCTCCCTCGAGAGGTCCTAACTATTGCAAAAATGCTGGCCCCGTGTGCGAACAGCACTGCATGACGCGTTTGTTGCTCCTCAGCCTTGCAAAGAAGGCGTTTGTTGAAACAGGCCCTGGATTAGTCTCTATTATATCTCTTCTTCTGGGTTTTAGCTGGGGACTTTTAACGTGCTTTTGCTTTGCCTAGGTTTTTGGTCTTAGCAGCTGGGTAAACAGACTCTCTGCAACACCCTGGATGAAATGTCAAGCTCAAGGGGAAAGTCTTCCACCTTTAAATTAAAAAAAAAGAAAGAAAGAAAGAAACACTTGCTCCCAGCCATGGTTTGGGAATAGCAACACCTGAGAGCACTTGAGGGGAACTGTGTGTGTGCTGGCTGTGGAAAGCTCAGCTGATGACAAAAACATGCAGCTGCCTTCCTGAGTGAGTCAGCCTGCTCTCAGACAGCAGCAACAAACTGAATTTAGCAAGAATAACTGAAAAGTGAGGTAAGTGACTGACATTTCTGGTAGGCACTTTCAAAAGAGTCTACGAATTTCATAGGAGAACGCAAAGAGAATCACCTGATTCTAAAACACTTTAATGAACTCTTGCCATGGGCAGGAAAGTTACTTCGGGAAATTACTCGGG